GGGGAAGCCCGCGAGGCGGTGGAACCTCGGGCGAGGGGCGAGGCGGGGCGCCGTCCAGCTCGCTCTCTCCCGCTTCCCGGGGCCGTCCAAGCTGTTGGAGGCAGTGGTGTGCGCCCTTCTCATTCCGCTACTCTCAGAGCTGTAGGAAAACGCAAAAATATTAGAGGACATTGACAGGACATTGACAGGGCAATGTCCTCTAATATTCTTCGGGATAGGGTCAGGGGCACGCACTAAGATGACAGCTGGGGACCGCCCCGCAAAAGCATGGCTGCAGCGCCGGCTGCCCTCGCCTGCCCCGCAAAAGCATGGCTGCCGCGCTCCCGGGGGAGGGGCGTGGTGGGCGGGCATTAGTGCGCATGCGCCCAGATGCCCCGCACCAACATGGCCTCCGCCTCCCCGCGAGCGCGGCCGCGCGCGGCGGCCGTTGCTGGGCATGCTCCCTGAGTGCCCCGCACCAACATGGCGGGGGTCTCTGAGGGGGTGACTCTAATTTTCGGTTTTCGGTTATAGCCGGCCGGTGCTCATTACTCTTCAGAAAGCTCTGAGCGCGTGGTGGAGCCGGAGAAAGGAAGGGTCGCTTCGAGGGCGAAAGGTGAGAGGGCACTGCAGGCATCCGGACCGGCTCCTGGCGGGAAGATGGCAGAGGGCGAGCGGCAGTCGCCGCCAGGTAGGGCGGGCCGGGCCGGGCCGGGCCGGGGGCGCGGGGGCGGTGCCAGGCGTGGGGGCGGGGAAGGGGTGTGGTGTGGGGGGCTCGGCAGGGGGAGGTCGGGAGATGGAGGAACTGGAGGGGCGGGAGCTGGTGGGCCCCGAGGAGGGACCGGGGTTGAGGGGCCCCGAGGGAGAAGTGGTGGCGGCTCTGGGGGGAGAGCAAGAACCCGGGGCTGCAAAGGGGTGGCGGGTGGGGCTCAACACCCGGACTTGGGGAGCCCGGGCTGCCCGAGGGTCGTGTGGGCAGCCCCGTGGCCAGAAGGGGAGGCCTCGTCCACATCTGGGCTGCTCATACCTAAGTCAGCTCTTGACCTGGTGGAGAAGCTGCCGGGGATGGGGGCTACCTTCTTTATTGGACCGTGCTCAGTGGGTGGGGCGTGATGCCCGGTAGACCTGGGCCTCCTCGACCGCATTTCCAGCCTCCTACACGCCCTGCCACCCCTCATCCACCTCCCCTCTCTCCCTCTTGGAGGCAGGGCTCTGGAGTTTCAGTGGCTGAGAATTTATTGAGAGAAACTGCCTTTGATCGTCTAAACCACTAATTTAGAAAGGCTGATTGTGCAAGGAGATGAAAGAGTCTAGAGAGTCTCTGGCATCACCATCTGTAACTTTTATTTACACTGTGGCTTCTTTCTAATTCATTTCAAATGACTTGGATGGAGATGCTAGGGAAGGGATCTTATAGAGACCCCTAACCTGGAGAAGGGGCAGACTGTTTGCCAACCCCCTCTTGACCTAAGAAGGACTGATCATAGATCAGTTTTAAAATTCTGTCCGAGGAGCAAATAGGTTGGCCAAACACAGCTGATGTTTTGAAAGCATTCGTTTTTCCTTCTACTCTATCTTGCATTTTGTGATCCCTGGGAAGGTCTTAGGAGGGAGAAATTTTGAAGATCAAAAGAGGCGTCCCCTCCAACCCCAGAAAAGTGGGCCAACAAAGAGCTGGCTATGGTCTGTTAGAGCGTTCGAAACCAGACATTTATTTTATTTGGTGCAAAAACTTTGTGCGTGTGTCCTCAGAAGTTCTGGTAATGACATCAGGAGCTACAAGGCAACTAGAATTATCAGTGTCTCTGAAGATGGGTGGTAGGAGGTAGGGTGAGGGAGAGAATCTGTGCCCTGAGAGAGATGCAGGCTCAGGGAGGTTGTCTATGGCTGGGAAGATCCAGGGTCCCTGGAGGTGATCTGTCTTCGTAGTTTGAAACAGGATGGAAAGAACTACTTAACTCAGACAGTTGTGAAAACCTTGGGTTTTGGAGTTACACAGACTTTGCCTGGCAAATCGCAGCCTCTGTGAGCCTGTTTTCTTATCCCTTAAAATGAGGCTACTATACCTTCTCCAGAGTCGTAGTGTGTGTTCCATAGATGATGTGATTGAGACAGGGGATGGGGTGAGTAGTCAGTAAGTGCAGAGTTACTGTTACCCTTCTCAAAGGTGGTACAGGGTGAGCCTGTAGACCAGTTCCCAAATGGTAGATGATAATACATTATACTCGCTGGGGTTTTTTTTAGGAACATCTCTAAAACTCTGGAGATTTCCATCTTTTTTTTTTTTTTTTTAAAGATTTTATTTTTTTTTTTTTTTATTTTTCCCCCCCAAAGCCCCAGTAGACAGTTGTGTGTCATAGCTGCACATCCTTCTAGTTGCTGTATGCGGGACGCGGCCTCAGCATGGCCGGAGAAGCAGTGCGTCGGTGCGCTCCCGGGATCCGAAGCCGGGTCGCCAGCAGTGGAGCGCGCTCACTTAACCGCTAAGCCACGGGGCCGGCCCATGGAGATTTCCATCTTATCCTGAGAGGTCATGGGGGGGATCCAGCTGTCCTGTGGCACCTTTGTCAGAGACAGAATCTGAGGCTGGGGAGACTGTGGGTCTCACTTCGTTTATCACAGTCCCGAGTTTGCAGGCTCGTTTTTTTTCTGATTTGGAATTGTATGTTGTGGTGACTTGTGTGTGAGTGTTTCATCAGTGATTTGGTGCAATGCTTCCCACAAGGTAGCCTTTCTCCTGGGAACATGTTGGGTCTGGCCTGGAGGTTTTCCTCTGTGAAATATCCCCTTGTAGGTTCTCTCAAACAGAGAAAGAGACAGTTCCCTCTGACTTTCAAAAGGACTCTGTTCCCAAGGATCATTTGCAAGTTGATTATTTGAAATGTGGAACATATTTTCCCATAAAAACAATGCAGTTAGGTTACCAGCCTGACTTCCAAAGCCTTTTATTTAGCATATTACTTAAAGTAGCAATTTACTAATAGTAGGGTCCTCAATTTTGGGTTCTGGGATCAGGGCTTGCAGAACAGGTGGGAGGAGGAAGAGAATTTCTGGTCTCTTTTTTGGGCCCTGGTTTGAATTTTAAATTATGCAGAGGTTTACATGGCTCTTATCTCAGATTCTCTGTCCGTCTCCTGGTGCTTTTCCTTTCCTCAGGGCCTCTCCAGGCAGGCTCTAGTCCCCCAAATGTCATGTGTTCCAGAACCTTCTTAGGTCTCTGTCCTCTTTTCTCCATGCAGCTGATGTCAGGTTTTAGGAGGATGGCAGTGGGACAAATTTATACTACGTTGTGAGTGACCGATAGTCCTTTACTCTTCCTGGAGAGTTTTCTTCTTTTTTTTTTTTTTGTGAGGAAGGTCAGCCCTGAGCTAACATCCGATGCGAATCTTCCTCTTTTTGCTGAAGAAGACCGGCCCTGGGCTAACATCCGTGCCCATCTTCTTCTACTTTATATGGGACACCGCCACAGCGTGGACTGATAAGCGGTGCGTTGGTGCGTGCCCAGGATACGAACCAGCGAACCCCGGGCCGCCAAAGCGGAGCGCGCGCACTTAACCGCTGCGCCACTGGGCTGGCCCCAAGAGAGTTTTCATTTTTAAAGGAAGATGCCTATTAATCTAACAAATCTCCAATAGTCGATTCAGGTCCACAACTCCCAACCCAAAGCCCTTGGGGTCAGGTGTATTTTGGAATTCAGAGTTTTTCACATTTCAGAAAGCAGTGCCCCATAATCAAAAATACTTCTGCAGCAAAACATAAATTCCCTAAGTGGGATGTGCAAAGCATGTAAATGTTCTCATATAGGTTTAGGTTTAACTTTTGTACCAAATGAGTTTGTGCCAAACTCATTAAAAAAACCTTTGGGTTTTTAAAACATTTTGGATTGTGAAATTCTGGATAAGAGATTAAGGCTTGTGTTTCCTGGTGTCACAATGTGAAGGGACTTCGAAGTGTGGGAAGATATTTTCTGCTGGGGAGGCCACTGGTCGTAAGCAGTCGGCTTTGGTGTGAAGTGTGCATCCAGGTTGGCCCATTGAACTGCCCTGTGTTTTCCTTTCCCTCAACTTCTCAATATCTAGAAACTCCATTTAAAATAGTTTTTTTCTGATTACAAAAATACTATATACTATTTTTAATAGTAATATGTAGGGTAGAAAACGGAAGTCCGTTATAAATCTTACCTCCTAGAGACAACGATTGTTAACTTTGGAGGTTAATCCTTTAGAGTTTCCCAATGCATATGCTAATAGGTATATGTGTTATTTATATTAGTATGTAGTGTTGTTTTTACAAAAATGAGATTACATTATATATAATGTAGTGCAATTTTTTTTCATCACTTATTAAGATCTAGGCTGTTTTTCCTATGTCAGTAATTTACATTTTATTCTTTTTATTTTTATTTTTTTTATTTATTTTTTTTTTTAAAGATTTTATTTATTTTATTTTTTGCCCCCAAAGCCCCAGTAGATAGTTGTATGTCATAGCTGCACACCCTTCTAGTTGCTGTATGTGGGACTCGGCCTCAGGATGGACAGAGAAGTGGTGCCTCGATGCGCACCCGGGATCCGAACCCGGGCCGCC